AACAAGTCTATGTTAGGGTCTGAAATTCTTATTTCTCACATAAAAAATAATGATTTTATAACTTTCATTGCCTTTTAAGAAGATATTTTATTGCAATATAAGTGATGTCAATGATTGAGGTCTGTATACCAATAAAAGAATGATTGAGGTCCATTTGACTCAAAACTGGTGACAAAAAATACAAGTTTCTTCGACAAGGTTGCCAATGCAAGGACGTGAGGTGAGATAAGAGTGTTTATCTCCCTCTTCTTTTCTCTCTAAGTTTTATAAAATCTGCGAGTTACTGATAAAAAAAATGCAAGGACGTGAGGTGATTGGTGATCAATGGGGATTTGGTGGAAGGAGACAGAATCAAAGATGAGATTATTCACTATTACTCGAATCTTTACAAAGAGGAAGTAGTAAGAAGGCTGAAGTTGGATGGGATCCAATTCAAAAGCATATTGAGGGAGTAGGCAGAGAATTTGGTTACAATTTTCATGAAAGAGGTTGCGGAAGAAGCAACTAATCAAATGGAAGAGGAAAAGGCACCATGTTTGGCCTAAAGGGTTTTTCTTTTGTGCTTCTTTCTTCAAGTCCCTTTGGTAGTCTCCCTCTTAGCAGGTTTTCCTTGTTAAAGAAGTATGGTGCAAGCTTATTTCCCCTAAGGTAAACACCTTGGACATTCTACAAAAGGGAAGACCTTTCCTTTGTATCTCATCTAATTGGTGTATTCTTTGCAAGTTTAACAATGAGGACTAGTAGCATTTACTAATATCTTGTTCCTTTATTGCAGAGTTATGGGTTTGGCTTTTCTTGATGTTTGGGTGCAGGTGGAATGTGCTAGTAGTGCAAGAATTATGTGGAGGTGTGAAAGAGTAGCATTGATTTGGACAATTTGGGAAGAAAGGAATGCTAGAATCTTCTAAGAGAAGGRGAGAAACCAACATGAATTAAAGGAATGTGTGATGAATAGGGTGATACATTGGTTGAAATCCTTGGACTTATTCCACCATGTCTCCTTCAATGATATCTAGAGGAATTGGTCAACGATGACAAGTTGTTCCTCTATAAACATTAGGGTGAGCACAAGCTAAGGGATGGCAATTTTCCCCATTTCCCCGATCCTCGTGGGGATTCACCCCGAATGGGGAGGGGATGGGGATGATTTTCCCCTCGCGTTGACGGGGATGGGGAAATTTTCATCCCCGTTAGTGGGGACGGGGAGAGCACTCCCCGCCCCATGGGATCCCCACTAATATATAAATGTATATATGTATGCATACGTTATATATGTATATATGTACACATACATCTTTATATTAATATTTTTAAAAATATGGTTGAATTTGTTTGAATATTTTCTAATATGATTGTAAATTTTAATTATTTTATTTTTATTTTTTAAATAAAATAAAAAAAACAAAATGGTTAACATTATAAAAAATCACGGGGAATGGGGATCCTCGTGGGGATGGGGATGGGGATAACCTTGTCCCCGTTAGCGGGGATGGGGATGGGGATTTTTCCAGGGA